AGCAGGAATTAAAACACATAGTAGCACCCTAAATTAAAAAGTCCAGGAACCTTTCTTCCCACCAAGAATTTTGTAAATATTACAGAATTTATCTGCAACTCAGAGTAGCTGCAAAGAGATGTAATAATTTTGTATCTACTTATTCATAATCTGTCAATTTTAAAGACTTCCTAAAGGAAGGTAGATTAAAAAAAGCATATTTTCCAATAAACAAAAGAGATTTAATGCCTTAAATCTCACTATATCACCACCCCTTAAAAGGCCTCTCCAAAAGCAAATGGTGTGTGATACAATGAAATCACCCAGCACCTCTGTGTTGCTCTCTATTATGTATGGTGATGCTGAAATAATTGAAAAGGATGGCTTATGCAAGAATGAAAAAAATGCCCTGAAGCTATAATCAGCTTTCAATATTCTTGCATGGAAAATGATCTCGTTTAGTGGCTTTTGCAATGTTCTTGAAAATGGAGCATCTAGCTCAGCAACTGTGTACTGTTACCAAAGGTGCAAAAAAACAAAACAAAACACCCCAAAACATGAAAAGTAGATATCTCCTATCTGTTTAGCAAGTAGCACCTTGTAGTTGGGTGTGCAGTGCTAATAGCAAACACCCAGCCATCTATCATCCTTTCTCGGTAAGACCAGCACGAGAACAAATTTCAGAGACTTGCTCACTTTCTCTTTGTTAGAAAGTGTCTGTGTGCTTTCCTGACAAAGGTAATGATGGGAGCTGCCACTGAGTGAGTTCCCACCACGCGCCAGCCCCAGTACTAGGAACCGTGCAGGCATTAGCAGTAATCTTCAAACAACCCATCTTACAAAGCTCTGAAAGGTTAAGTAACTTGCCAAGGCTACACAGTTAGTAAGGAAGAGAAGCAAGATTTGAATCCCGGGCGACCTGTAGATAAAGTTTCACCTTCACAACAAAAAACACCAGTAAAGATCGACCTTGAAGTTTTCACTAAGCCAAGTCATAGCTCTTTGGGAGAAAAGATATTTTCTAAATAAGCTAAAAAATTCTCACAGCCTATCATAAAAAAATGCACTCGAGGATCCACATAATACCATGACTATCTTTAAAAGAGCAGCTGTACCCTGGAAGCAACTCAGTCTGCCGAGTGGCTAATCCATCCATTTAGGTCACTTTCTGAAAATTAAATTTATCGTCACCACAAAGTGACAGTGGGGGTAATATGGCTAAGACCAGCTCAAATGAAGAAACACGGACACAAGGACACAGTATGCTCATTTCCTGAATAGAAGCATCCTTGCCGTCTCTAACTCTATCCAGCAGTAATTGCTGAGGTTTGCAGGCCTGGTCCTGGCAGAAGACGAGAAGGAGCCCCCCCTCTGCCAGTGCTTCTGTCTGAAGGGATTCTTACTGCCCATGGACACCTGGTTGAAGACCTGCCATCCACATGTCCACTAAGTTTCAGGCTGCCCATTGCACTAGGACTTTGAACCCTATCCTGAGGCCTCTAAAACCTGCCTAGACCTTACTAGCCACTCTCACTAGATGCAGTCACTTGGCCTTCACCCAGCTCCTTCTGAGGCTGGAAAGCAGGTTCAAATTAGACAAATCCCCTTGCTGAGCTAAAATCCCAGCGAGACCATCATACCATCCTCCCGGCTCCCTCACACAGCCCGAGCAACCCTCACATGCCCACCTCCCTGCCCTCTACGTGTTCACTCCGTAAACACTCACTGAGTGCTTAATGTGAATTAGATACTGGGAACACAAGGATGAAAAGAAGCAAAATCTGTGCCCACGAGGTTTTATAACTTCAGGGAGAAGACGGAAGTAAATGAGTGATTTCATTATCATGCTCCATGCTCCCCAACAGAAGAATGCAAAAAGGGCTAAAGGAGCACAGAGGGTAAAGTGCTGAAGCTTAACTTACCCTCAAATGAGTATGGCCACTCTCCAGAAAATCCTACTCACCTCGCCACTCATCACCACACTCAGGACCCACCTTTTATCAGCAACACAGACAGACTAAGGCTTGTATGTTGAACTTCCAGACTCGACGAGGGCTGACTCCTGTGACCAAGTTAGTCCTTTCTCCCAGATAGGGTCCAACCCACCACCTTCTTACTCCTCTCCCTTCCCCAGGGTCCCCATACACCTTTCGGCCGTAATATCCAACAGTATGGAACTAGAGATATAGAAATGTATCCTTAAGTGAAAAGTTTTTTATTTTCCTTTAAGTTCTTTTTCATACACTGAAATTTTTCTCTATTGTGGAGCATGATTTCCTTCATCAGTCATTTGTTATTAACCGAAACAGCAACAAGGAATAAGTTTCTAGCTAGCCAATAAACATATGAGGCCAACACAATAATTATTCATTTACAATACACTTAAAAATATACTTATAAATGTCTTCACTTAGAAACTGAGTTATTAACAGCAGCTATCATTGTTAGATTAATTCCTTAGGCAATCAGTTAAATGCTGAAATATAAAAGCAAGAAACCAAGAATAATAATAATTTCATATCTGCAATGCCAAAATATGATACTCAAGACCTTTTAAAACATTTTGGGGGTATCACTGTCTCTCTATACTGTAAGGTGGCCAGTGTATCTCTGGATCAAAATGTCAGAGGAATAGTCTCCTGCAATCATTCAGATATATTCCATTCTTTCCACAAATGTTTATTAAAATCTAGGCACTGTGTAGGTGCTGAGGATACAAAAAGGCAGACTTGTATGAAATCACAGAGAAATGAGATAGACACATCAACAGATCATTGTAGTAAAATGTAGTAAGAACACATGGTATATATAGTTAGAAGGTGACAGGAACAGAGAAGGAACACCTAACCCAGCCCAGGTTGGAAGGCACTGGGAAGGATTCAGAGGAGGCTTTCTGGAAGAGGTGCTGTCTAAGCAGAATCTTCAAGGGTAATATTATTTAACAAGGATGAGGGAAGACGAGCGTTGCAGACAAAAGCAGGTCTCATGCACAGGCCAAGTCAGAAACACACAGAATTTCACATATGTGTATCTGCGAGTAGTTCAGTGTTGTCAGAGCAGAAACTGTCAGGTAGAGAGTGGCAAGAGACGAAGATGGTGCCAGATCATGGCAGGTCTTATATGCTACTTTTCCCAGAGATGATGAAAAGTCGCTGAAGGATTTTTTGAAAGCAGGTAGATACTTGGGATCTGTGCATTTCGAATAAATTCCTTCCTTCATTCAAATGTTAACTGAGCACCTACAATGAGACACAGGCGTGCAGAGAACAGGAGGAGACCCCGCCCTCTTGGAGGGTACCTCAAGAAAGATCACTCTGAAGACTGAACAGAGGGTAGACTGGGAGTCAGGAGACTAGTCAGGAGCCTGCTGAAGCAGTCCAGACAAGATACTGAGAATAGGGCATTGAGAGCAGATATTCTAGGATATTAGAAAGTGAAATTAACTGCACTTGATGACTGATTTGGATGTACGAAGAGAAGAAGAGCAAGAATGCAGGAAGAGAAGCGGGTAAAGATCAGCTCAGTTTTTAACATGTTGATTTGAATGCACCTCAAGGGATCCAGAGAGAATTGTCAACAGGCAATTGAACCCACAAAGCTGAAGCTCAGCAAAAGGTCTGAAGCTGGAGATACAGATTTGGAGACATAAGCACAAAGGGTAGTAACCTATAGATGAAAACAGATCCAAGTATGCAAGTGGGAAGAGCTGTGGGTTTACCATGGAACCCTGAGGAATACCAACTCCTAAGGGAAGCATGGAGGGAAAACCCCCAAAGGAGGCAGGGAAAGAACACTCAGAGAAATACACAAGGAATCTTGAGAAGAGCTGGGAAGAGAGAACCAGCGGACCATGAGTGTCACGGAAAATCAGTGGTAAAAAACACAGCAGAGAGTCCCATTAAAATAAAGGCTGAAAAGTGTCCATTGGGATGATTGGCAATGATAAAGTACCTTTATTCTGAATGTGTCCACGCAGGTGATTAGACCAAGGGCATTTTGCAATGAACTGAATGAGGAGTGAGGGGAAAGGAAGCAGAGTCAACTAGAGGAGTCGAGTCTGTTGGTTTCTGAAGTCTGTATGAAAAGGGAGAAAAAAGCCCAGACAATAGCCAAGAGGGGTCCAAGGTAAAGGGAAGGTTGTTTTTTCTTTAGTTTTTTTTCATTTCGTTAAGGATGGGAGAGACTTAAACATGTTTACACGTTGAGGGCAATGAACCAATAGAGAAGGAAAGAGACAAGGACCCTAACCATCTTATACCAGAAAATCACTCCCTGTAGCGAGGAAAGTTTCCTGATTATTTGTTCATTCAATACCTATTGCATGTCTCCTATATGCAAAGCACTGAATTCGGCACTAGTTCTGACTTTTTTGCATTTTAATTAAATAATCTTATAGAGACACACACGAGTGAATGTAGGGTCTTCTAAGACAAGGGGCATATATGTAATTCAAAGTGAATCCTGATGTACACTGCAGTTCAGAACACATCACTGTGATCTTCAAAATGACAGCTTTTCAAATACTGTAAAGCTGCAGTTCTATTTATGCATTTCAGCTGTTGGCTACTGTGGCGCACTTTGGGAATTCTCTTCTTTCAAGTCAGGTTCATTCTGAGGTTCTAAGATATAAGGCTCCAAGTTTTTTAGATTGCAAACTGAACTTCTGACTTATTTCAAAGAGCAGAATTCATGCAATGGAACACCAAATCCCCTGCTACTGAACAGAAAACAACTGTGAATTAAGTTATTAACTTGTTATTTTTGCCTAAGGAGCTGAGAGAAACATGTGGATTTCAGGTGTCTAATTTCAAATCTAATTGAAATCTTTTTGTAGCCTCTCAGGGAATAGAATTTGTACACTATTAGAAAATTGCTAGTTTTCTTAAAATTGCTCACGTGATTTATTCTAAGAGGGACACTATTACAGAAGGAATCCTTTTCATTCATAGTACCATGTAGGCAAATTAAAGTAAATAGAACTAATGCTCAAGTCAATAATAGCAGCATTTAGCTGTAGGCTATCTTACACAGTAATATGATAAATAAACTGTCTATACAGGTGAAAAATTTTAGAGTCCCTTTTTTTTTGGCAGTATGCGGGCCTCTCACTGCTGTGGCCTCTCCCGTTGCACAGCACAGGCTCCGAACACGCAGGCCCAGCAGCCATGGCTCACGGGCCCAGCCACTCCGTGGCATGTGGGATCCTCCCGGACCGGGGCACGAACCCGTGTCCCCTGCATCGGCAGGTGGACTCTCAACCACTGTGCCACCAGGGAAGCCCTAGAGTCCCATTTTGAATTGGAAAAACAGGCAATCTCCCATTAAAATACTACAAAACTTTCTTCATTGACCTCTTCTATATTTTGGGAAGTAGGACAAGAACTCACAGTTTTTCATCTTCTTAACGTGAATTCTTTTTGTTCAGTAAAGCTGTTCAAAACTTCCAAAATTCATCAAAATGCAGTAACTACGGCAAGAAGTTATTCACAGAGGGAAAGTGGAAGGCTCTTGAAAAACGTTTGACTGTAAGGAGGAAATGCACATGTATAAAAGCAGCGATAAAATTAGGAAAAAAATTAAATGGGTCCAGTCCATATCAGGAAGTTATGGATTCTCATTAGGCAATTAAGAGGAAGTCAGGACATCCAGGATAAGTTTCATCTTTTGAGACTGACATCACAGAAAGCAACTACCATCTCTCACCCCAAAATAGCCCGTTGTATGTGCTGGAAATTGGTGATTATGTTCTTTTACCTACATTGGGTGTTTTAAAATAAGATTAATACTATTAAACCAAGGCAGAGTTGGTGTGGTATTGTGACTCTAGACAGTTCTGAAACATTTCTCTAACAAATAGTGGTTAGAAATTAAAATCCCACCCAAAATATTACTCTGGATATTTAAAAAGCAGCAAATTATTCATCTATGTCTCATTTTTGCCAACACAAAAATTGTTCATATCATTTTGATTCAAATATTTAAAAATGTTCACATTCTCTGGGAAGAAATTTATACTCCTTTTAAAGATACAACCATACACAGGGTTTTAACTAGCATTTTACTGGCTATATGATTGATTCCAGAAATCATTCTTTTTTCTTTTTTTCTTTTTTTTTTTTTTTTTTTTTTTTTTTGGTGGTACGCGGGCCTCTCACTGTTGTGGCCTCTCCCATTGCAGAGCACAGGCTCCGGACGCGCAGGCCCAGCGGCCATGGCTCACGGGCCCAGTCGCTCCGCGGCATGTGGGATCTTCCCGGACCGGGGCACGAACCCGTGTCCCCTGCGTCGGCAGGTGGACTCTCAACCACTGCGCCAGCAGGGAAGCCCCAGAAATCATTCTTTTTTTTTTTTTTTTAACCTGTCAACTAAAACCATTTTGTAACAATTTCTATAATGGCACTAGGTGCCATTGACCACTGACTGGTCCAATAATTTGTATGGTCACAACTGAAGTCAAGAACATGAACAAGTCTTTAAAAGAAACTGATTCCTGCTAGAAATCACCTTGTAATTATAGTTTCTTAATACTCAGAGAAAGCAATCTATAATTCAAAAAGCATGTTGAAAAGTGGCTATCTCTGCAAGTTTATCTGGTAAACAATTTGGGGTTTAATATAAGTCTGCAAGCATCCTAGATAGACTTCTGTGATGTCAGTGAACAAAAGTTCTATGAGAAAAGGGCAATTTAAAATTGAAATGTGTGGATTACTTCTGATTGAATGACTGCTTCCATAACATCAAGTGACAAGACTAGTACCCAAACAACTAAATAATCACGAAACACCCTAGTGTTTTTATTAGGAAGCAATAAAAAAGAGCCCTTAACAACTTCTTGTGCCCGATCCCCCTTCATACTAGAGTAATAAAGGTGATAAAGGTCACTACCCAGCACCATCAGCAGCCTTGGTTGGCACATGTTTGTTAAGTATATGTAGATGAGATGCAAATGATGGTGAACGATGGCTTTCAAGTTGTGCACTTGGGAGCGTTAACATGTGGCAGATTCCATTCTCCTGTGCTGGTGAAGCGCATGTCTAGATGACATTTCCCAGCCTCCCCAGATAGGAACCAGATAGGAACATGTGACTAAGTGGTTGCCAATGGAATGTGAGCAGAGATGAAGAGCCTCGAGTCCTAAGCCTTGGGGGAACTTGCTGCCCCCATGCCCTCATCCCTTGCCCCTGCAGGTAGGACGGTGACCTGACTTGGAATATGCACATGAGGACAATGTCCTGAGATGCAGTGGAGATCCAGAGAGAAGGAACCTGGGCCCTGGTAACCCCAGGGAACAGAAGCACCTGCTCATTTTAAAGGCTCTCCACAGACTGTTACATGAGAGAAATAAACTTCTATCTACTTTCAGCCACTGATTTATTGTTGGGATTCCCTACTATAGCAGCCTGGCCTTACCTTAACTAATGCAAAATGTTTTTAGGACCTTGGAAACAATAATAAAAAGAAAAGTGGCCAGTGCAGACTAAAAGAGATAAGAAACCTTTCCATCCTTTCTCTTGCGGAGTCCCCAAGCAGCACTGTCCCTGTAGCATGGCGAACATCACGACACAAACATAGTTTCCACGTAAAAACATAATTGCTCTCTCTGTGTGTTTAAAAGGGATTATACACATTAGAGAGAGATGGCAGTGAGAGGGACCCAATTAAGCAACCTGAACTGTAAATCTTCCCAAATCTCAGAAAAATACAGAAGCACAAGGGTATAGCGGCATTTCTCTGAAAGGACTAGTTACAAAATCAAGGCAATTTCAAGAGGACTGAATTCCCTGTGGAGTACCTCTTCCCTTTGTTCCCCTGCTCCTTTTCCAGTGGGCCTTGGCTTCACTCCAGAGGTAAGAGGCTGGGCCACGGAAGGAATGTAAGAAGAAACACTCGTGCTCCTGTCCTGCTCCACCTCTCCTGGAAGCAGCAGCAAATCTGTCGAATACAAAATATTTCACTTGATCCCTTCACCAAGTCCACAATTGACCTAAGTCATCTAAAAGTCTATGACAGCCAAAAAAAATGAGCAAATATGCTCAAGTGAAGTAGGTCCGTTTCACAATGCCTGTCCTCACTTGGGAACTTGGCTCAAGGGATTCTCCTTTCTATAAAATAGAAGTCGTCAGTGCATTAGTTTTTATTTTATGGTTGCAATGTTACAATCCATCTGAAAGGTCTGGGAGAAATGTTGTTTTGGGAATAACTTGATCACGCCTCTCACCCTCAACCCAGTTTCTACTTCTATAGGAAAATAAGTCAAGAAGATGCTACTTTTGCCTCATTTTGCCATATTTTCCTGAGGGGGTGAAGAGAAAGAAAATAGAGTGCTGATTTCATCCTGTAACAATATGGCAATATTTCAAAAAAACATAATAAAAAACAATGATGCCAGAAGGAAGGAACTTTAACTTCCAGCAGAAAAATGAAATACTCTGTCATACTCAGAATGCACGGCCTACTTCTCAACGCATGCAAACAGCAACAACAATGTGTTTCCGGCTTGTTTAGCACAATCACAAGAATTCAAAAGCCAATCTTGGTTTTCTGATCGATCCATTAGAAGAGGATGTGTTTCCTTATTTTTGCACGTGTGACAGAACATCGATGAATCACAGACAAATGATTTCTCTGAAGACAAAAACAAACAGAAGCACAACAGGATCCCTCCTCCGTCTAAGTTTTCGCAGGACCAGAAGGGCTGCAACCAATAACTTGCAGCTGGCGCAAGATGCTGCTGCCTGCTATTCAATGATGATCCTAATTAAGACACTAATTAAGTTCTCAGTGGAAGTGATTAATTAACAACAGGCATGCCTTGGTTGTTGCCAAGGGCAGCATGTATGGGGAGATAACTGAGCAGGTACTGATATTCAAAAACTGAAACTTATTTGAAATACGTCTCTCACCACTACAGCTATCACCTTCACAAAAGACATGATTACAAAATTCTTAAGACTTCAGCAACAGGGAACATGGCAAACAGCCTAGAAACTGAGCACGTGGGCAGGGGGATGATGAAGAAGGAAGTTTTACTATGATTAATTATTGAAATCATAGAATATGACCTGATTAATTAGGAGAAATAAAAACAATAATAATAGCCGGCATTTTACATGCATTAACTCCGCCAATCCTCTCAACAACTCTGTTATTTCCTCTCTTAGAGGCAATGAGCTCTAACACTGAGAGTCACCCCAGCCACCTCACTCACGGCGCCACAGCTGCAGTCTGTCTGCGGAGCCCGTGCTCCTAGCTCATGATGTCACATCATGAACTTACTTTTAAGTAAGCACTTTCACCACATATATTATTTTAAATCTATCAGATTGTACCTCCAAACTCAGGGCCAAGAAATGTCACTACGATAGCACATTAGTGTGATTAGTAAGTGTTCAGGGCATTTTACAATTTTATAACCAGGAGTAATATTTTTTAATATATATTTCTTTAAAAAATTTTTTTTTAATTAATTAATTAATTAATTTTGGCTGCGTTGGGTCTTTGCTGCTGCGTGCGGGCTTTCTCTAATTGCGGGGAGCGGGGGCTACTCTTCATTGTGGTGCCCAGGCTTCTCATTGCGGTGGCTTCTGTTGCGGAGCACGGGCTCTAGGCGCGTGGGCTTCAGTAATTGCAGCACGTGGGCTCAGTAGTTGTGGCGCACAGGCTTAGTTGCCCCACGGCATGTGAGATCTTCCCAGACCAGGGATCGAACCTGTGTCCCCTGAACTGGCAGGCGGATTCTTAACCACTGTGCCACCAGGGAAGTCCCAGAGAAGTAATATTTTTAAATTCAGTAAGGTTGGTGGAAAAACTGGCTTTCTAAGGTATTCCTTTATGAGTCCAAAGCTAATCTCCCTCACTGGTTAGGGGCCTGCCAACAAGAGAGGCAAGAAGAGAAAGCTTCAAGCCTCTTAATGTGAAAACCAATATCTACCATACCCACTGGCTGCCAGTGCAAACATCCCTTTGAATGTGAAATCAAAATCAATTCTGCTTTCAGAGCTATTTAAAATCTGATGGACAGTACTGTGCACCGAGAGGGACAACTCTGCAATTCCTTTGCTGAAACTCTTCACATCCCTCATATGTTTGCGAAGAAGATAGGGTTTTCAACAAAAATGGTTTATTTCATAAGAATTCCACTGCCATGGGTACAATTCTTTCAAAACAATATGACTCAGTATCCACTGCATTTCCCATTCCTGTCATTTGTTTCTCCACTGTAAAGGTAAAATCCACAAACGCATAGCTGTTGGAGCCTAACACGACACCTTATATGTAGTAAATTCTCAGCACATACTTGCAGAAAGGAAATTAATTTCCTGCATCTCAACTTTTAAACTGAACAGCAAGTATGAAGAGTCTACCTATCCATAGGACACTGGGAATGATGCAAAATATGTATAGTCCTTTCCCTCAAAAACTAAAATTTTTTTTACAGGAGTAGGATTTTTATACATAAAATCAGACAATAGTCAACACAAAAATTGAACTGCTTTAACTCTAAATAGGACAGATTTATAAAAGAGTGAAACCAATATGCACACGAATAGTCTGATAAGACACAAGTTATAGAGAAGACACAAGTTATCTTTTAGCCATTTTATAATCACTGATGGGTTATTTAAATATTCATTCTCTCAGGGGGGAAATGATTGTATTCATTGATGATGGGGAATGGAATTTCTGAAGTTCTCTGCAAAGCTTTCCCAACTGAAATCTTATCTTTAAGACACTTCATCTGACCTTATTGTTTCTAAAACAATTAGTTTTCTTCTTAGCTAAATACCACCATCTTGACTGATGTGCTTTGTAGAGTTAAGGCACCTCTCGAAAAACGAATCTTGATGTTGGATGGCAAGCCTGATTGAAAGCATTTCAACCTCTTTCTCAACTACATGACAAGAATGTCCAACGTTTATAAACTATGTGTTTGTGCCATTTGTCTTTCTGCATTTAGCCAATGACCAGCAAGTCAAAGGCTATAATCATGTATTTTAATACATTAAAAAGTAAGCCATCTACCTGACATCTGATAATCTAGACAATAACAATATTTAGTCTGCCTGTCATATTTATAAAAATTAACCAATCCATTCCTTTGTTGCCATGTAGAAATGGCCAAAATTTCCTGAAATTTCGGGTGTTCCTCAAGACCAAAAAGGATACAGATAAGAAATGCACTCAGGCATCCTCTGCACATAGCTTCCAGCTATGATAGTTTATATTAGGTGGTTCTTGTTCTTAAAATTTTTTGAAGACCCCCAAAGAGCTTTTGTTTATGGGAGTGATATCTATCAATATTTACCATATTAGAAATTTAAATTTCAAATATTTGCTTATTGAATCATTAAAATACAAATTTTCAAATATTTGATTATTGAATCATTAAAATAATACTACCATATACTAAAATAAATATTTTTATTTAAAAAAACCTCTTTTCCAAAAACAAAGAAAACAGAAGAGAAGCATTGTTTTACATTGTCTGAATCCTTTAAATGTCTGTCTTAAATAGAAGAACGCTGGATTCTATATTTGCTTCTGCATTGAATTTTTGGAATATGCTGTTTCAGTTGATGAAAATGAAGAAACTCTAGTCTCACACAGATATTTAGCTGGAAAGGGGAGGACTATTTTAATACTCTTTTTATATAATTGGGGATATTATTCTTTGATACACACTAGATATTGACAAATGATAAAGTTTTTAAAAATAATTTCAATGTGCAATATGAAACCCTTTCAGTAAATTTTTCATACTCTTATGTTAAAATCCATTGGTCTAGCTTACAATGTTGAATGGATTGCGCTTCTGTGCATGATTTTGTAACATCATATATTGGTTATGTGGAAAATGGTGGTTCACTATGTTACGCAGATCTTTTAAATGTTGACATATTTCATTATGCAATATAAAAATCACATTAGTTAACATTACCAATTTTATCAGAAAAGGCTTTAAATATTGGGAAGCTGTCAAGCTCACAGTACTGGATGTAAGTTTTCCAAAAATCCAATTTTCACTTGATCCATTGCCAATTTTATCATTGGCAATGAATACTGTCAGCTGTTGTCTTGTAGAGATGGGCTCACTTCATTCCTTTTTGAGAACTATACTTTGTCAGTCATTCTTTCAAGTAAAAACGTTGATCCATGAAAGAAAAAACAAAACAAAACAAGTTCAGCACACCCCTCAATTGCACAAGTGTTTTTTCATGAAAAAGTGTTATTCATTTTTTCCATGAAAAAATTTTCATGTATTTCACGTATATGTGAAATACAACTGTTGTATTTCAGTATGCAGCAGACGAGGTGTACTCAAGCATCAAGGTTTAATAAAATTAATAATTTTTACCACTTCATAAAGGACATTTGCAATGGATACTGGCATTTGCTTTAATTACAAATTCAGGACAGTGAAGATTACAGTGACTACTAGTATAGTGTGGTGCTTCTACCTTGATTCACACTAAGTTACTAGCATCTTTACCCATCATTGCTTTTGCAACATCAGTGCAAACGTCAACTTATTTGACCTTCAGACCTTGGGGTTTTCCAAGGAGCTCCCAGACCACATTTAATATAAGTCTGACCCTCCCACCAAGAACATTAGAAAAGCTGAATAAATGATAAAAAATCAACTACTTCAAGGCATTAGAGAGCTACCAGGGAAGGCCAGAACTTGAGGGGCCAAGATCCCGGAGAGAAGGAAAGTAGTGAAAGTGAGTCTAAGAGTCTAAGCTGTTTTTCAACTTATGCCATTTACTGATTTGTAAGCAGAGGCTGAAAAACCAAGAAGTGAAGAAGAAATAGACTAAGAGGCTGAGAAGCTTAGCAGAACTACCAACAGGTTCACAGTGCTGTGAAGATAAAAAATAGAGTTTGGGATCTCCAAGAAGGAGGGGCTGTGATTTACCTTGAAGGGCTACACC